TAACAAATAATTCTGTTAAAAGATTGTGTTCTCCGATTAACATTTAAACGTGTTGATTGATTGTTACAGAAACGTAGGCGCAGACCAATCAGAAAGGAAGGGGGGAGCTTGGGTCGTTTATTTCAAATCATGTACCTCTCTCTCTTTTTTCTGACAATCTCCAGACAATCACTTTAAATTGCTTTTGTTAATTTCACTGGGGATACAACATTCTTTACAATTGCATGCAGCTGGTACCGTTCAAATTTGTTTAGAAAAAAAACAAAAAATATTTCACCCCTCTGTATGGTGGCAAAGGGAGGAGTTTCATATTCATAAACGAGTTTCATATTTGTTTCACCATGTATTATCTTATTCGTCACATCCTAAAACATGAAATGAAAAAGTAAATAGTTGGATTGCCATTTACTCAGGGCCAAAAATAATGCATGATATTTCTTCCTTAAACAAACCAGATCTGTTAGGTAGAAGACTAATGGTACCAGTCTCTCCCTGAGCGTCATCCTTTGTCTCACGGCCACATCCCTCTGAACGTGAATTTACCAACCACCTGACCACCAGAATAATAACATAGCTATGTTCTGATCACCGACTCTGTATCTGTCTGTGAATCCTCCACTAATACCATGTAGCGTCTGTGTGTGTATCTATGGTTTCTCTTCTGTTGTCTCGGTATCTGTTTTGTAACTATGTTTAGGGTTATTAAATGTCTTCTTTCATGTCTATTTGGTTTATGCGTAATATATTAAGGCTTAAGCCATAACTAGATTCTCGTTATAACAAGGTCAGAGTCCACATATGGCAGCCCATTGTAGAAGGAGACAATGGGCCACTTGCTCCAGGCTTCAGGACTCTCCAGAGAAGCTGATTCACGATGTGTTTTAGTATTGACAGCAAGCAGACTTACTCTCCAGTCTGTGTCGATCACCCTCTCCCCCCCCCCCCCCCCCCCCCCCCCCCCTCTTCACCCCTCAACTGGCCCAGAGGAGGAGGGCCTTTGTATGTGTCCAGTGTGTAAATAGCTTCATCAAACGGTGCAAACATGACAGCGTTATCATACGTGGATGTCCGCAGTGCATGACGAGATTGAGCTGATGGAGAGAGGGGGAGAGAGGGGAGAAGGGGTGGTTGCCGTGGAAACCCCTGGCGGAGAGTGCAGACGATTGACGGGGAAGAGAGAGCAATGGATGTGAGAGACGCAAAGATTAGGTGGGAATAGATGACAGGGTAATGTCTGTGAAATATACTATCTACGCATGGACTGTGTGATGGCAAGCGACTAGTATTCATGCAACCCTGCCTGTGTCTATTCATATGTCATATGTCCCTGTTCCAGGAAGGAGCCGGGCCCCCCGACACCTACAGACAATGGCGCAAATCACTGTCCTCCCTTTCGCCTCTTGCATATCTATCGGTCTGTATGTGTGCATCTTCTACATCCTGCTGCCTGTCACACCCTTGTGTCTTTCGCCTCTTGCATATCTATCGGTCTGTATGTGTGCATCTTCTACGTCCTGCTGTCTGTCACACCCTTGTGTCTTCCGTGTCTTGCATCTGTATGACCTGCATTTAGACCATTGTCTGTCTGTTCGCACCCCGTTCCCAGACGGCGCCAAACGCCCCCCATGCGCCTCCTCACGGGTGGCCCCCTCCAATCTGTTGTGGGCGGGACTGTCTCTCGTGTGTGTCTTGTATACAGGAAACTTGGGGCTCTGCCCGCAGAGCTAGTACATGCTGCCTTGTGTATGTGCTGACTCTCCGTACGTATGTTAACAATAAACTTACGCTTTTGATCAGACAAAGACCTTTGAGTTTTCTCCTTCATTGGGTAGAAACTTCCTTAACAACTGTCTTCAAATTGTGTGCGACAAAATCTACTTTTCTATTTTTTCCGGTATATAAAGCGGAAGTCAAATCCCAAACAAAATTGTAAGAAAACAAAAATGCTTGCTGGTAGATTACAGTAAAACCCAAGATTCCACTGTTTACTGTAAGTCCATGTATAATTTTCTATAAAAAAAAAAAAAAACACTTACTATTACACAAAACATAATACCTGTTTGAAGAATAAAACTAGACAGAAAAGTGGAATATTTTTTAATTCATTGCACCTTTACAAAACAGTTAACCTTGCCTGCAAGCTGAATTCTCGCGGGGCTTATTTGTGAGTTCACAAACACTCGAGAATACTTATGATGTACCGCTCCCGACTTACACCTTTTGAGGTCGAACCACTGGGGAAGCTGTGCGAGCCAATCACGCGCCAGTTGGGGAGTTTAGGGCGGGATATCCGTGTTTGACGAAACACAAGAAGTGCCGGGCCGAGGCCGAAGCAAAACAACATGCTGACGCAGGAGGGACGGCACGCGTTGCTGAGGCTATCAAGTCAGGTTTTAGCAGAATCTCCCAATTTCTTTTTGAAAGATGAACAGCGGAGAGCTCGCTTTGTGCATTTCTGGACGGCAACCTTGTAGGCGGGGCACACAGCGTCACTTTCGCCCAATCAGCTTGAAGTATTCTGCTGCTTATCCACTTTCCCCGAGAATGGATTCTCCGGGAGAAATCCCAGATTGATATGAGTGGAGAACTCGTTAGAGGTTCTACCCATTCATCAATCTGGCTCTTGCCAGGTTACAAAACAGTCTCTGCTAATAGAAAATTGGTTTGTTCCTCTTGAACAGTCAGTTCCTAAGCAAACAGTCATATGGGTATATATTGAGACAAAATCCATCTGCTACAATTTGAACCTACTCAACCCCAGCTATGGAAACCAGCAGTAACCAGCAGAGGCACTTCTCTTCATCTGGAGTGGTGTCCAGACACATAGCAACAACACATTGCACTCAAGTGTCACAATATTCAATAATGGAGTTACAATACTCTGACCAGGTTGAAGACAAATTTTAAAGGTCTTAAAAGTGCTGTAACCAATTTTGAGCCACAAATTAAGGTCACCGCTGTGTCAAATTATAAACACTATTCCTACTCAAGGGCCTTTAAAGGGCAGACACCATTTACAGTATTTAGTGTTGTTCAAATGTTCAAAAGGGGAAAAAGTATTGCATCCAAAATTTCACAAAACTCAAAGAAATGGTGACTGGCCAAATATTGTCAAAGTAACAGCAAGGTCTAGGTGGTCTAATAAATCACTACAATTACAAATATTACCTGAATCTTCAACGTGTGACACATGTAGTTCCTAAACTTTGATTACTGATGACTTTTTGTCATCAGCGTTTTCATTTGAACAAATGTGAGTGAATAAATATACATACCACACTGGCAACCCAAATGAGAGCCTCATCCTGTTTCTGATAATCAGACTGATAATTGTCTGTCCCTTTAAAACTGATATTAAATCCTATTGTGTATGTTATCACTTTTTAAATGTATTCATTTATTTGACAGGTTTGAAGCTACAAGCTAATTTTCATCCGCAGTCCCTGGGCAGAGGCAAAGTGACAGCGGGTTTACAGTGTGCAAAGAATTACTAAATAGAATGTCCTTGTTAGCATTATTATGCTAAATTAAAATAGATTGAGATTATCTAATTTACATTTATATTTTTCAAGTATAGAATTGTGCTATACAGTTGAAATTCTTATTTTATGTTTGTGTGCTCCTCATTTACTGTTCTGTAACCTGGGATGCAACCCTGAAATGTCCCCACTGTGGGACAAATAAAGGATCTCTTTAAAAAGTATACCCACACATGCTCTGCTCACACAAAAGCCTACCTAGGGCCATATAATAATAGTTAGAAGACATTATTGATGGCCACCTTCCAAATAACTGCTTTAAAAGGCTTTACTATTACTATTGTTCTGAGGATGGCAATGACATCCGGAGAGCGGCAATAACTCTTCTCTGAGCGTAATAGGCATATTATCAGTAAATATCTGGCCTCATTTTGTTACTTTCTTTGTGGATATCTGACTTAAACAAGACAGTTGTTCTAGTTGTGTCTCACTCCTGTTAATAAGATGAAACTGTTGTTAATGAAGCTGCCTTGAAATGTAACATCTTTGTCCTTTTGTCAGTGCGGCTCTCTGCTCTCTCTGGTCTTTCTCTCTGGTCTCTCTCTCTGGTCTCTCTGGTCTCTCTGGTCTCTCTGGTCTCTCTGGTCTCTCTGGTCTCTCTGGTCTCTCTGGTCTCTCTGGTCTCTCTGGTCTCTCTCTGGTCTCTCTGGTCTCTCTGGTCTCTCTGGTCTCTCTGGTCTCTCTGGTCTCTCTGGTCTCTCTGGTCTCTCTGGTCTCTCTGGTCTCTCTGGTCTCTCTGGTCTCTCTGGTCTCTCTCTGGCCTCTCTGGCCTCTCTGGTCTCTCTGGTCTCTCTGGTCTCTCTGGTCTCTCTGGTCTCTCTGGTCTCTCTCTCTGGTCTCTCTCTGGCCTCTCTGGTCTCTCTGGTCTCTCTGGTCTCTCTGGTCTCTCTGGTCTCTCTGGTCTCTCTGGTCTCTCTCTGGTCTCTCTCTGGCATCTCTGGCCTCTCTGGTCTCTCTGGTCTCTCTCCGGTCTCTCTCTGGTGTCTCTCTCTGGTTGCTCTGGTCTCTTTCTGGTCTCTCTCTGGTTACTCTGGTCTCTCTCTGGTTACTCTGGTCTCTCTCTCTGATCAGTGAGACATTGCCAATTGTATGATCTATTCTCTCTTCTGTTGAAATTGCTGACTGATTGCTGATCATTCCATTCATCAAGGAGGTGCAGATGAAGTTTGTGTGTGTGCTTATGTGTCCTAGTTCTGTATTATTTTATTGTGATATAAAAAGTCAGATTGTAATTGAGTTTGGACGTGGGGGTGCTCATAAGCTTCTTGCTTTAGAGCAGAATGTATACTTTTCAGATAAATGAATACAAAAAGGTAACAGTCTGGTATAGAACCATAAATAAGACCTGTGTTCGCACATTTGAAAACCACTGATGGAGCTGTTTTCTTAGGGCAATATTTACTTTCCCCATCATCAATATTCAGGGAAACCAGCGCAGCAGAGACTGGAGCTCATACTCACAAGGGACGGTGCGGAGATACAGGTTGTCCCGGATGATCTGCTGGTGGTCGTGGTCCACGGAGCCCTTGGAGAAGCGCAGGTTGAGGTAGTGCCGCAAATCTTTGTCAACCACACCCCCTGGACACAAACAGGAAAAGAGATTAGCCATTGTGTGGAAGGAAGAGGCTTTTCCAACGAGAGCCTTCTTCTCCTGCCATCCTCCACACGTGACATTCAAATGCTGAAGTATATCTGCTGATTTAACCCAAGATATGTACTTAATTTCAAATGTGTGTGTATAAATGCGTAAAATGTTATATAGAGAAAAAAATAGGCTTATAATTGTATGTAAACCTCTCTCAACAATACAAGAACATTTACATTTTCTATTTTGATTAATTGTTTAGCCTTCGATGACAACTCATGAAGGCTAAATGGTCGTATAAAACAAAAGCATATAAAAACATTGTAAAACTAAAGTGCTTTACACGTTGAACAGTTTAATGTACTTGTAAAAGGGAAGTGAGTTATTGGAGAAAAATGTAGCTTCCTTATTATGAGATGAAATTCTTTTGGCACACCTTGGTTTTTGGAAGGAGATCAGACTTTTGTGAAGTGGGTGGTCACAGGAGGTTGTGTGTTGAACCGTGCGTCTCATGGTTTTCTGCAGATTTGACTGTGTTGGCTGCAGCTACATGCCCTGACTGCACTTTTAAAGAACACATATGGATTCAGGAGGAAACTCTGGGACCCACTGGACTTGGATGGAATGGGTTTGTTTTAAAGGACACATGATATGCAACACACCAGTAACCTTCTGCACAAACTCTCCTCCCCCAGAGCAACACAGCACTCCATAGTGAATAGACCACATTTGTCACATCGTGGATAAAGAGCAAAAGGTTTTTCAGCGTTTTTTTAAAAGAGACATATTACACAACATTATCTCTTATTCAAAACAGGGGTGTAACTGCAATCGGTGTAGGTGGTAACCTCAGCAAAACTTGTTGACTGTTTCAATTTAATAAGCCGCTGTTATCTTGGTGGGTTACCAAGAGACATACACCCAAACAGGAGTCATGTTGCATCAACACTGAGTGCAAATGTCCTGTATGCAGACCGGCTGCGGCCTAAATTGAGAAGCCTTTTATTAAGGACTGTCCCCATTTTCTCCTGATAAAAAAAAAAAATGCAATATTTAATTAAGTTAATTGCATTAATTGAAACTAAAAAATTTTAAATGTGAAATGAATAATAGCCTTGAGAAATACCTCGGTAATACCAAAAAACGCAACCATCAGTTAAAGATCTTTTCACTGTGATAACCATTATCCAGAACAAACCTATCATTTTTATAGCCCCATCAAAGGTGATGAAACAAGCTTCTGTTGGCGCAAATCAGTCCTGCCATCATTTTGTCTAAATGCTCCGATCTAAAACTTGATCTGTTTTGACGGACACTCGAAAGATTCTGTTTTATGCCTTATAACAAAAGTATTGCATTCAACTTTGCATTCAAGCACCACTTTTAAATAGCAACTAAAATAGCAAACTGTAACGTCCCACTTTGACCACTAGATGGTGATATTTTGCCACTTTAGATCTTGTCAGTAACTAATATACACATAAATCTGTCTTTAGTGTTTGTGCTTAAGTTTTTTCCCATTTTATAATATTCATTATGAAAATGTTTGTTGACAAATCTATTCATAGCCCTTACTACTCCTAAATAAATAAGATAAATGCACAAAAATTAAGATAAGAATAAGATGCATAATATTTGCTGGTTAAAGGAAGTAATGGCTAATATGTATGTCCATGGGAGCAACTATTGGCAGTAACTATTTATAACTGAAACAAAATACACAGTATAGTGTATGTATCTGTATTGTGTGGATAAAAAGTAGAAACAACAATGTCTTTAAATATTTCAGACTGTGTAAACATAATACGTTCAATGAAGCAACAGAGCAGACGTTGGCAGAGTATAAGTCCCATGAATAAGTCATAAATAGCATTACTTCAAAACAAGAAGATGCGTCTCTGAACTGGTTTGGAGAAAGGCTTTTTGGTCCAAATGAGAACAAAATATAGTGAGTCAACTAAACAGGATGTAGTAGTAGTTCTCTGAATGACTGTGAGCTCACTTGTTATAGCAGCAAGGCAACTTTCTGAGTCATGTAGTGAAAGCATAGTCACATGTTAGTCAAAATGAGAGATGTTCCATTGGTCTTTTTGATGAGACACCCATAATATGAAAGACGGCAAGAGAAAAAACATGTTAGTATTGGATCAAATTGAGAACTTAAAACGTATCAAAATCTATCGAGATAATGAACATATTTCTATACACTGTACTTCAGCTGCTGCGTTCTATTGTATGGAACAGATGTCATGTGGACGAGTTGCCAAATATGCGTGAATATAAGTAAACATACAGCCAGGTAAATGATCAGAGAACAGGCTTCGGAACATGCTTAAACAAGGCATTAAGTTACAACACCAGTCAAGGGCTGTAATTTATACAATACAATAGTCTACTTATATTTCTCACTGTGAACGCACATATGGAATTCTAATGCAAGAAAACAAACTCCAACACACATGTATTGAGTACAAGTATTTTTCTTACTGATAAAACGGATTATCACTATTCTGAAGCACTACATAAACCACAAATCTATCACATCGATCATCTATCTATTTTTCTTCTGTAGTCCTAATGCCCCTTCCACAGTCCCCCCCCCCCCCCGTTTTTAAACTGGCCGTTTAAATCTAGAGACGTGCCAGCTTCAAAAGCCAAATCGCTTCAGCACTAAAGACCTGAAGCTAGCCTGAAGAAGCCCACAAGCGTTCCAAACCAATCTCAGCTCCACAAGTGCTGTAGCCGCCATGCATCCTCTCTCCTCTCTCTCTCTCTCTCTCTCTCTCTCTCTCTCTCTCTCTCTCTCTCTCTCTCTCTCTCTCTGTCTCTCCCTGGGGCAACATAAGGCGAAGTCATCACCTCTTTACACCCCCCCCATGCACCACTAATACCTCCGGATGCCACGCAATATAACGAATGACACCCCATCATTCATTCTTACACAGCAAACTAGTCAAGCGCCAGCGTGGGGCCTACATCTGCGAGAACAGGAGCTCAGCCTCACAGACATACATGCAGCATACCACCACAAAGACGCCTCTATACGCCACTGCACACGGAGCGCCCGGTCGACATGAAAGGGGAGATTAGGAGGACGTTTGCCGTAAATGTGCCCCTTCGTGAAATGACAGCGTCCCCAGACAGCAAGAGCAAACAAAGGGAGACAGTTGATGTGGATTAACATAGCAGGGTTGTTGCATGGAAACATCATAAGAGAAATTAAAGAAATGTAAGACAAAAGGTAGTAAATCTAAAAGGCACCTCATAAGCTTGCTCGGTTGGTAGAAGAAAAAAGGCTGTAGTTAAAAATCCACAGACAGGCTGTCCTCCCAAGCGTCCTCTACATCCACAATCCAGCGCACGTCCCCATCTCCATGCTCGTATCTCTCACAGTCCCTGCATCATCCTCATCCTCCACCACGAGTAAATGGAAGCTACTCCTGCCAGCAGCACCGGTCCACAGCTGAGGGGAGAATCCAAAGCAGAGGCGCGAGACGGGGGAAGGGCGAGCAGAGATGCCGGAGGAGTGCGGAGAGGAGAGAGGAGAGAGGAGAGAGGAGGGAGCAGAGAGGTGCCAGTGGGGAGCCGGGCTGGAGTCTTGGAGAACACAGGGGCTGTACAATGGTCCTGCAGCAGCCTCTATCTGCAGCTGCTGGTAGTGCACAGGGTCCAGACAGGAAGGCAGTGGTGGACCCACATGCTCCCTGGCGTTTCTGTGACGCTCAGGTGCTCTCCTGAGCTGACCTCGAGCAGAACATCACTGAGAGACCAGAGGAGCAGATGCCCCATGCACATACTACACAGCTGTAAGTCTGCAGACGTCAGACGTCAACTGCTGATGTCAGGTCTGAGGTCACAGCGCAGACAAACAGGCTTTTTTGCAGCAGCTGCTGGATGTGAGCAAGTGAACCAGCGTGAGACTGCATGAGCGTGGTCGTTAACTCGCTTGATAAATAGATGCTGCACTGAAACGACGAAAAAGACAGTATAGATTTCTTAAAAGTGTTACAACTCAAGGGAGAGAGAAGAGAACAGCGATCAATCCAGCTCTCATTAAGAACGACAGTGCTCAGAGCAGCAAGGCTTGTCCATGCAGGTCACACACACAGCTGCCCATTAACTGACCCCAAACTGCTCCCAAAATCAACAAACAGCCTCCTTTATTCTTCAGCTCACAGCGCTGCAGTGGGGTCTGGGGCCTTAATCAGCGCCGCAGTGCTACAGTGACCACACTGAGCTGTCGGCTGAATTTATATGTACAAAATCTCCACTATTATGTGTCTGCCCTGGTTCTGCCGCCATCAAACAGGACTAGGGCCAGGACAGCAGCCGGACAGAAGCTGACATGAAAACGTTGAGCAAGATGTTTGCAAAAAGAGGTAACTTGTTTCATTAACAGTAAACATTCATTTAATGAGAAGCATTCTTCCTCCTTCTAATGATGTGGTTGCTAGGCGACACAATACAAGCACATTTCATTCACTAGAGGACCATGTTATGCAGCTCAGGGTCAATAAGACTTGTTATCACAGGGTCCCAAAAAATTGTGAAAAATAAACTGACTGTGAGAAGTTTACTTTCAGTTCTCTTTGAATGGACAGGGTCAGGGGGAATAAGGGCAAATATTCTACAAACAGTCCACATACAAGAGTTTCTAGTGAACAATTAAAGAAGACAGAGCAGATAAAAGGCAGGATGTGTACTCCCCTGTAAGAATGTGCTGTGCATGTTAAGAGAGCTGGGCCTTTACAGACACGGTGCCTCTACAGCCCTGAGCAGGCTCCTTCACCTCCTCCTGCTCTGTGACCTGAGCCAGACACCTGCTGGCACCGACCTCCAGCTCACACAATGCAAGCATACAAAACCAAACAGCAAACTGTGGAATGTCATGAATTCAATAACCATCATCAGCAGACTAGAGCAAACATTTTATAAAGATCATAAAGGTCTCAACTAACATCATAATGTGCAACGAAACACTATCTCCACACAG